ACCACCACAGCCACCACCACAACAACCGCCACCACCACCACCACAGCCACCACCACAACAACCGCCGCCACCACCACCACAGCCACCGCCACCACCACCACAGCCAGCGCCACCACCACCACAGCCACGACCACCACAACAACCGCCACCACCACCACCACTACCGTCAGAGCCACCACCGCCACCACCACCACTACCACCACCACTACCGCCACCACAGCCACCACTACCAACCACCATCACGACCCCAACCACCATAACTACCCCTAATCCCCCTTAACATCTTCCGCCTGTTCTCCTGTCACCATGACTACACCACCACCACCACTAGCAGCAGCAACAATAACAACAACCTTATTCTTGGTTCATATTCTCGGTTCTTTCGGTAAAGTCACCACGTAGAAGGAAAAAAAATATAAAACAATAAAATTCTCACGTAAAAAAACGCCACTTTTTTCAATGTTCTTGCTGTGGTTTTCACACCTGATGATGATTGCTGCTTTGTGTTGCAGTGGAAACGGTCGTGAGAATTTTATTGTTTTATATTTTTACTATTTTATTGTTTCCCTTCTACGTGGTGGTGGTGACTTTACCGAAAGAACCAAGAATATGAATCCCTGCAGTCACGAAAGCTTTAAATCAAAATATTATTGGTTCTTTCGGCAGTCACGTAGAAGGGAAATAAAAAATGAATATAAAACAATAAAATTCTCACGTTTCGATTGCAACACAAGCAATCACCATCATCATCAGGCGTGAAAAAAACCACGTCGTGAGAATTTAATTGTTATATTTTTATTATTTCATTGTTTCCCTTCTACGTGGGGGTGGTGACTTTACCGAAAGAACCAAGACTCTGACTCCCTACCGTAACGAAAGCTTTAAACCACAACAAGAAAACGTTTTCTTGTTGTGGTTTTCACACCTGATGATGATTGCTGCTTTGTGTTGCGGTCGAAACGGTCGTGAGAATTTTATTGTTTTATATTTTTATTATTTTATTGTTTCCCTTCTACGTGGTGGTGACTTTACCGAAAGAACCAAATATTCTTGCCGTTGTTTTATATTTTTATTATTTTATTGTTTCCCTTCTACTACGTGGTGGTGACTTTACCGAAATAACCAAGAATATGAATCCCTGCAGTCACGAAAGCTTTAAATCAAAAGTTGGTATTGTTGTTGTTGTGGTTTTCACACCCGATGATGATTGCTGCTTTGTGTTGCGGTCGAAACAGTCGTGAGAATTTTAATGTTTTATATATATTTTTTTATAATTTCATTGTTTCCCTTCTACTACGTGGTGGTGGTGGTGGTGACTTTACCGAAAGAACCAAGAATATGACTCGTTGTTGTTGCTTTAAATCGCAACAACAACAACGACAACCTTTAGATCACCTGAATCACTATCACCTGCTGCACGATTTCACAATCCGCCGTGTGAGAACGCCCTCCGACTGGAGGCGCTGCTATGAACACCGACGCCCAGGCCAGGCCTGGGGGACGTGGGAAGAGTAGGCCAAAGGACGACTCCGTCAAGCGCGAGGAGCACTTTCCAGCCAGCAGCGGAGCGAGCAAAGCGCCTGCGACGTTCACCGGCCACGGGCCAACCGTGCCACGAAAATAAAATAAACTGGTAGTGTAGTGGTGTAGTGTATAGTGTAGTGTATAGTGTAGTGTATAGTGTAGTGTATAGTGCAGTGTAGTGTATAGTGTAGTGTATAGTGCAGTGTAGTGTATAGTGTAGTGTATAGTGTAGTAGTGTAGTAGTGTATAGTGTAGTGTATAGTGTAGTAGTGTATAGTGTAGTGTATAGTGTAGTGTATAGTGTAGTGTATAGTGTAGTGTAGTGTATAGTGTAGTGTATAGTGTAGTGTATAGTGTAGTGGTGTAGTGTAGTGTATAGTGTAGTGTATAGTAGTGTATAGTGTAGTGTGTAGTGTATAGTGTAGTGTATAGTGTAGTGTAGTATATAGTGTATAGTGTAGTGCAGTGTATAGTGTAGTGTATAGTGTAGTGGTGTAGTGTATAGTGTTGTGTATTATAGTGTAGTGTGTAGTGTAGTGTATAGTGTAGTGTGTAGTGTATAGTGTAGTGTGTAGTGTATAGTGTAGTGTGTAGTGTACAGTGTAGTGTAGTGTACAGTGTAGTGTATAGTGTAGTGTATAGTGTAGTGGTGTAGTGTATAGTGTAGTGTATTATAGTGTAGTGTATAGTGCAGTGTATAGTGTAGTGTGTAGTGTATAGTGTAGTGTACAGTGTAGTGTGTAGTGTAGTGTATAGTGTGTAGTGTATAGAATAGTGTAGTGGTGTAGTGTATAGTGTAGTGTGTAGTGTATAGTGTAGTAGTGTAGTGTATAGTGTAGTAGTGTATAGTATAGTGTAGTAGTGTACAGGGTAGTAGTGTATAGTGTAGTGTATAGTGTAGTGTGTAGTGTATAGTGTAGTGTATAGTAGTGTATAGTGTAGTGTATAGTGTAGTGTATAGTAGTGTATAGTGTAGTGTATAGTGTAGTGTATAGTGTAGTGTAGTGTGTAGTGTATAGTGTAGTGTATAGTAGTGTATAGTGTAATGTAGTGTATAGTGTAGTGTATAGTAGTGTATAGTGTAGTGTATAGTGTAGTGTATAGTGTAGTGTATAGTGTAGTGTATAGTGTAGTGTATGTTGAACTTCTATCGTGACGCACGCAGCCAACCGCGCCAACAAACTAAACAACAAGTACTTGTAAAGACATGGGTTTTTTATTTAGTATAGTGGTGTAGTGTATAGTGTAGTGTATAGTGTAGTAGTGTATAGTGTAGTGTAGTGTATAGTGTAGTAGTGTATAGTGTAGTGTATAGTGTAGTAGTGTATAGTGTAGTGTGTAGTGTAGTGTGTAGTGTATAGTGTAGTAGTGTAAAGTGTAGTGTAGTGTATAGTGTAGTGTATAGTGTAGTGTATAGTGTAGTGTATGGTAGTGTATAGTGTAGTGTATGGTAGTGTATAGTGTAGTGTATGGTAGTGTATAGTGTAGCGTATAGTGTAGTGTATAGTAGTAGTGTAGTGTATAGTAGTGGTGGATAGTAGTGGTGTATAGTGTAGTGTATAGTAGCAGTGTATAGTGTAGTGTATAGTGTAGTGTATGGTAGTGTATAGTAGTGTAGCGTATAGTGTAGTGTATAGTAGTAGTGTATAGTAGTGGTGTATAGTAGTAGTGTATAGTGTAGTGTAGTGTATAGTGTAGTGTATGGTAGTGTATAGTAGTGTAGCGTATAGTGTAGTGTATAGCGTAGTGTATAGTGTAGTGTATGGAAGTGTATAGTAGTAGTGTAGTGTATAGTAGTGGTATATAGTAGTAGTGTATAGTTTAGTGTATAGTGTAGTGTATAGTGGTGTAGTGTATAGTGTAGTGTATAGCGTAGTGTATAGTGTAGTGTATAGTGTAGTGTATAGTAGTGTATAGTGTAGTGTATAGTAGGAGTGTATAGTGTAGTGTAGTGGTGTAGTGTATAGTGTAGTGTATAGTAGTAGTATATAGTGTAGTGTGTAGTGTAGTGTAGAGTGTAGAGTGTAGTGTATAGCATAGTGTATAGTGTAGTGTATAGTGTAGTATATAGCATAGTGTATAGTGTAGTGTATAGTGTAGTGTATAGCGTAGTGTATAGTGTAGTGTATAGTGTAGTGTATAGCGTAGTGTATAGTGTAGTGTATAGTAGGAGTGTATAGTGTAGTGTAGTGGTGTAGTGTATAGTGTAGTGTATAGTAGTATATAGTGTAGTGTATAGTGTAGTGTATAGTGTAGAGTGTAGTGTATAGCATAGTGTATAGCATAGTGTATAGTGTAGTGTATAGTGTAGTGTATAGCATAGTGTATAGTGTAGTGTATAGTGTAGTGTATAGTGTAGTGTATAGTAGGAGTGTATAGTGTAGTGCAGTGGTGTAGTGTATAGTGTAGTGTATAGTAGTAGTATATAGTGTAGTGTATAGTGTAGTGTAGAGTGTAGTGTATAGCATAGTGCATAGTGTAGTGTATAGTGTAGTGTATAATGTAGTGTATAGCATAGTGTAGTGTGTAGTGTAGTATATAGCATAGTGTATAGTGTAGTGTATAATGTAGTGTATAGCATAGTGTATAGTGTAGTGTATAGTGTAGTAGTGTATAGTGTAGTGTATAGTGTAGTGTATAGTGTAGTGTATAGTGTAGTGTATAGTGTAGTGTATAGTGTAGTGTATAGCATAGTGTATAGTGTAGTGTGTAGTAATGAAGAGTGCAGTTTGAATGTTGAAGTTCTTTTGCACCGTATGTAGCCAACCGCGTTGATCGGAGGTGCGTGCATTTCCCTAACAGCTACACGTCGTGAAGACGGTGTCTGTCTTTACAAATTGCGTTCAATTTTAGTCACTTTCAAATGTAACACCGCTGGCCAGCGAGGGTCACGGATTGACTGACACGAAGCTCACACCAGGCGTGTGTGTGTGTGATACATACGTGTGTGTGTGTGATACATACGTGTGTGTGTGATACATACGTGTGTGTGTGTGTGTGATACATACGTGTGTGTGTGTGTGATACATACGTGTGTGTGTGTGTGATACATACGTGTGTGTGTGTGATACATACGTGTGTGTGTGTGATACATACGTGTGTGTGTGTGTGTGTGATACATACGTGTGTGTGTGTGTGTGTGATACATACGTGTGTGTGTGTGTTACATACGTGTGTGTGTGTGTGTGTGATACATACGTGTGTGTGTGTGTGTGTGATACATACGTGTGTGTGTGTGTGATACATACGCGTGGTGTGTGTGTGTGTGTGATACACACGTGTGGTGCGTGTGTGTGTGATACACACGTGTGGTGCGTGTGTGTGTGATACACACGTGTGGTGTGTGTGTGTGATACACACGTGTGTGTGTGTGTGTGGCGTGTGTGTGTGTGACGTGTGTGTGACACACACACACACACACGCGTCACACGGCGCAGCGCACCGCGTGCGGCACACCGCTCACAGCCGCCAGCCCGTCAGGACAGCACCAGCCTCTCCTCCTGCACCTCCCCCTGCACCGTCGTCACCGCCGCTCCCCTCCCGGCTTGCCGGTGCCCCGCCGCCGCCGCCGCCGGCCCCGGCGGGGAGCGGCCCCGCCGGGGCTGCCGGGGGCTCGCCGCCACCACCACCGCCACCACCGCCTGCAGCTTGTGCAGCAGCAGGCGCTCGGCGTCGCGCCAGGCGCCCACCTGCTGCAGGCTGGGCACGTGGCTGTCACGCACGGAGCGCTGCAGCTCACGCAGTTTCTGGGGGGGGGGGGGGGGAGGTGGGGGGGGGGGAAGTGGGGGGGGGGGGGGGGGGGGGGGGGGGGGGGGGGGGGGGGGTGGGGGGGAGAAGGTGGGGGGGGGGAGGTGGGGGGGGGGAGGTGGGGGGGGAGGTGGGGGGGGGGAGGTGGGGGGGGGGAGGTGGGGGGGGAGGTGGGGGGAAGGAAGGTGGGGGGGGGGGCGCACGTACACGGATCTTCTTGCGTGCTAATCAGAGGTGGTGATGGTGGTGATGATGGTGGTGGTGGTGGTGATGGTGGTGGTGATGATGGTGGTGATGGTGGTGGTGATGGTGGTGGTGGTAGTGGTGGTGGTGATGATGGTGGTGGTAGTGATGGTGGTGATGGTGGTGGTAGTGATGGTAATGATGGTGGTGATGGTGGTGGTAGTGGTGGTGGTGATGGTGGTGGTGATGGCGGTGATGGTGGTGGTGGTGATGATGGTTGTGATGGTGGTGATGGTGGTGGTAGTGATGGTGGTGATGGCGGTGATGGTGGTGGTAGTGGTGGTGGTGATGATGGTGGTGGTGGTAGTGATGGTGGTGATGGTGGTGGTAGTGATGGTAATGATGGTGGTGATGGTGGTGGTAGTGGTGGTGGTGATGGTGGTGGTGATGGCGGTGATGGTGGTGGTGGTGGTGGTGATGATGGTTGTGATGGTGGTGATGGTGGTGGTAGTGATGGTGGTGATGGCGGTGATGGTGGTGGTAGTGGTGGTGGTGATGATGGTGGTGGTAGTGATGGTGGTGATGGTGGTGGTAGTGGTGGTAGTGATGGTGGTGGTGATGATGGTGGTGATGGTGGTGGTGATGGTGGTGGTGGTAATGATGGTGGTGGTGGTGGTGATGGTGGTGGTGATGATGATGATGGTGGTGATGATGATGATGGTGGTGGTGGTGGTGTTAATGATGGTATGTGCGTTTAACACGTAGGCTTTCGCAACCAATATCATCCATAAGATAGGTTTTTAGGGTTACATCGCATAAATATCTAAATGTGTCGTTAAACCTGTCACCACCCAACAGAACGTGGCCAATTCGTTACTAGTACAGCACTAGTGTATAGTGTAGTGTATAGTGTAGTGTATAGTAGTGTATAGTGTAGTGTATAGTGTGTAGTGTAGTGTATAGTAGTGTGTAGTGTAGTGTATAGTGTAATGTACAGTGTAGTGTATAGTGTAGTGTATAGTAGTGTATAGTGTAGTGTATAGTGTAATGTATAGTGTAGTGTATAGTGTAATGTATAGTGTAGTGTATAGTGTAGTGTGTAGTGTACAGTGTAGTGTATAGTGTAGTGTATAGTGTAGTATACTAGTACAGCACTAGTGTGCAGTGTAGTGTATAGTGTAGTATACTAGTACAGCACTAGTGTGTAGTGTATGGTGTAGTGTGTAGTGTATAGTGTATGGTGTAATGTGCAGTGTATAGTGTAGTGTGTAGTGTATGGTGTATAGTGTAGTGTATAGCGTAGTGTGTAGTGTGTAGTGTATAGTGTAGTGTATAATGTAGTGTATAGTAGTGTATAGTGTAGTGTATGGTGTAGTGTATAGTGTAGTGTATAGTGTAGTGTATAGTGTAGTGTATAGTGTAGTGTATAGTAGTGTATAGTGTAGTGTATAGTGTAGTGTATAGTAGTGTATAGTGTAGCGTATAGTGTAGTGTATAGTGTAGTGTATAGTGTAGTGTGTAGTGTATAGTGTAGTGTAGTGTATAGTGTAGTGTATGGTGTAGTGTATAGTGTAGTGTACAGTGTAGTGTATAGTGTAGTGTATAATGTAGTGTACTAGTACAGCACTAGTGTGTAGTGTAGTGTATAGTGTAGTGTATAGTGTAGTGTATAGTGTAGTGTGTAGTGTATAGTAGTGTATAGTAGTGTAGTGTATAGTGTAGTGTATAATGTAGTGTATAGTGTAGTGTATAGTGTAGTGTATAATGTAGTGTACTAGTGCAGCACTAGTGTATAGTGTAGTGTATAGTGTAGTGTATAGTAGTGTAGTGTAGAGTGTAGTGTATAGTGTAGTGTATAGTGTAGTGTATAGTATAGTGTAGTGTATAGTGTAGTGTATAGTGTAGTGTATAGTGTAGTGTGTAGTAGTGTATAGTGTAGTGTATAGTGTAGTGTATAGTGTAGTGTATAATGTAGTGTACTAGTGCAGCACTAGTGTATAGTGTAGTGTATAGTGTAGTGTATAGTAGTGTAGTGTAGAGTGTAGTGTATAGTGTAGTGTATAGTGTAGTGTATAATGTAGTATACTCGTACAGCAACTACACCGGTTGTGTGTTGGAGAGCCAAGCCACAACATCTACAATCTGAGCACCGTCACGTATCGCCAGTAATTTACGACCGGCTTCATCAGGTGACAGCCAGATCTGTGGAGGAATCCTCCCGTTTCGTTACTTAAATAGATAGGGGGGGGGGAGTAGCCGCGATGACGTCACTCCCTTCACGTGGTAGCCTCAAAGTGCACCTAGCCTGGCACAGGCGCTGTGGTGACGTCACCGCGGTGGTATTGGTGATGGTGGCGCGGTAAACGCGACGCTACGTCTGAGTCTCCCCTGTATCCGTTCCACTTCTGTCGTGCGTTTGTTGTTGTTGTTGTTGTTGTCGTTGTTGTAACATTGTGACCCCGTTTCCCCCCCGCCTCACTGGACATCTGTGTGAAGCAAAGAGCTTCATGGCTCATCGGATTTCTCCTCCTCCTCCTGTCGTCCAATTAATCATTCTGATGCTGTATATTTGGAGTTGGCGTGTCTCTCTCTCTCTCTCATCATCATCATCATCACGGTGGCTATGAGATGTTGACTACCTCGCCTGGTGTACAGGAGGTCGTGGGTTCGATCCCGACCCTGATGACACCTGCTGCTGTAGATTTGGAGTTGGCGTGTCTCTCTCTCTCATCACTCATCATCATCATCATCACGGTGGCTATGAGATGTTAACTACCTCGCCTGGTGTACAGGAGGTTGTGAGTTCGATCCCGACCCTGATGCCTGCTGCTGTATATTTGGGGTCTGCGTGTCTCTCTCTCTCTCATCATCATCATCACGGTGGCTATGAGATGTTAACCACCTCGCCTGGTGTACAGGAGGTTCGTGTGCCCCTATGAGTCTGTAGAATCGACGTCACCACGCGTTTTTGACCGTTGCTATAAATCCCCACGTGATGACGATGATGATGATGATGATGCGTCACTTTGTTGAGCTGTCGTTCGTGATAGCGCTGGGGTAGAGTCTCAAAAAAATAGCTACACAGCAGCTGAATGTGGCTTTACCTGTGAAAATACTTAATTTAAATTTAGTATGGGTCTCTATGGGTCTCTTATGAGTCTCTGGGTCTCTATGGGTATCTGTGCATTTCAATGAGCATGGGTCTCTATGTGTCTTGTGGGTCTATGGGTCTCTATGAGTCAACAGCAGCGGTCCCAAACCTTTTTGGGGTCAGCTTGTGGGCTTACTCATGTAGGCTACTAGGGGTTAGAGCTTGTGGGCTTACTCATGTAGGCTACTAGGGGTTACAGCTTGTGGGCTTACTCATTGTGGCTACTAGGGGGTTAGAGCTTGTGGGCTTACTCATGTAGGCTACAAGGGGTTAGAGCTTGTGGGCTTACTCATGTAGACTACTAGGGGTTAGAGCTTGTGGGCTTACTCATGTAGGCTACAAGGGGTTAGAGCTTGTGGGCTTACTCATGTAGGCTACTAGGGGTTAGCTTCTGGGCTTACTCATTGTGGCTACTAGGGGTTAGAGCTTGTGGGCTTACTCATGTAGGCTACTATGGGTTAGAGCTTGTGGGCTTACTCATTGTGGCTACTAGGGGTTAGAGCTTGTGGGCTTACTCATGTAGGCTACTAGGGGTTAGAGCTTGTGGGCTTACTCATGTAGGCTACTAGGGGTTAGAGCTTGTGGGCTTACTCATTGTGGCTACTAGGGGTTAGAGCTTGTGGGCTTACTCATGTAGTTTACTAGGGGTTAGAGCTTGTGGGCTTACTCATGCAGGCTACTAGGGGTTAGAGCTTGTGGGCTTACTCATGTAGGCTACTAGGGGTTAGAGCTTGTGGGCTTACTCATTGTGGCTACTAGGGGTTAGAGCTTGTGGGCTTACTCATGTAGTTTACTAGGGGTTAGAGCTTGTGGGCTTACTCATGCAGGCTACTAGGGGTTAGAGCTTGTGGGCTTACTCATGTAGGCTACTAGGGGTTAGAGCTTGTGGGCTTACTCATGTAGGCTACTAGGGGTTAGAGCTTGTGGGCTTACTCATTGTGGCTACTAGGGGTTAGAGCTTGTGGGCTTACTCATTGTGGCTACTAGGGGTTAGAACTTGTGGGCTTACTCATGTAGGCTACTAGGGGTTAGAGCTTGTGGGCTTACTCATGTAGGCTACTAGGGACCTAGCTTGTGGGCTTACTCATGTAGGCTACTAGGGGTTAGAGCTTGTGGGCTTACTCATTGTGGCTACTAGGGGTTAGAGCTTGTGGGCTTACTCATGTAGGCTACTAGGGGTTAGAGCTTGTGGGCTTACTCATGTAGGCTACTAGGGTTTAGAGCTTGTGGGCTTACTCATTGTGGCTACTAGGGGTTAGAGCTTGTGGGTTTACTCAAGTAGGCTACTAGGGGTTAGAGCTTGTGGGCTTACTCATGTAGGCTACTAGGGGTTAGAGCTTGTGGGCTTACTCATGTAGTTTACTAGGGGTTAGAGCTTGTGGGCTTACTCATGTAGGCTACTAGGGGTTAGAGCTTGTGGGCTTACTCATGTAGGCTACTAGGGACCTAGCTTGTGGGCTTACTCATGTAGGCTACTAGGGGTTAGAGCTTGTGGGCTTACTCATGTAGGCTACTAGGGGTTAGAGCTTGTGGGCTTACTCATGTAGGCTACTAGGGGCCTAGCTTGTGGGCTTGCCAACACCACGTGACTGAGGCGAGTTGCGCGGTGCGGGAACGAGGCGCGGATGGAAGTGGTGAATAATAAAATAATGGGGCGCGGGGCCACGTGATCGGACTCTCCGCTCTCACCTCCTGCTGCTTGTGCGGCCCGGTTCCCAATGACGACGACGGAAACTGATTGGTCCACACCAAGGGACGGCTTTCCTTTGGTGTGGACCAATCAGCTTCAAGGACAATGCCCAATACGTTATCATGGCAATGTTTTTTGTTCGCATTTTGACTGCAGGTATTGTGGGTTAATGCAGTAACACGAATCCTTGTAAACAAAAATAAAGGTTTCAGTTTAGTTGCCAGAAAAAAGGAGGTCCAATGATGTAAAATAAAAAAAAGTTCCGCTCCTGGTTTCCTTGGCAGAAAGAACAACAATTCACGACGCTTGGCGCATTGCGAACGAAACGTGGCGATCTCGTCGCGTCTAATCACCAAAAGAATCCAAGGGCAGCGATTCCTGCAGTCGCGGAAGATTCAAATCAAGAGTTCACGTCTGAGCTGACGGCGCCTGTCCCCGGACAGGCTGACGCGGCGTAGCTGCGCTTGGAATCTTTAGCGTTGTGCGTGCGTGTGTGTGCGTGTGTGCGTGTGTGTGTGTGCGTGTGTGCGTGTGCGTGTGTGTGTGTGTGTGCGTGTGTGCGTGTGTGTGTGTGTGCGTGTGTGCGTGCGTGCGTGGCAAGGCAGCGTCAGCGTGGATCATACCTTGCCCACGTTTTCCTGTTCCAGGATGAGTTTGTTGTACTGCTCGCTGTGTGCAGACACGCGCACACACACACACACACACCACCGCCAAAGACCCCCCCCGCGCGTAGCATTAACCGACTGTCGGGGCAAGTGCTGTTAGTAGCGAGCAGCAGCAGCAGCAGCTATGAAGGCTACCGGGAACTGTGGCACACACAGAGGGGGTGGGTGGCCAGCGCCATCACCACCACCACCACCACCACCACCACGCCCGGCCGCCTTTGTCTCCCCCAGTGGCGATGTTTACTACATACACAGCAGCGGGTAACTCACTTGAGGCTGAGTCGACCTAGGGGAGGCCCAGGGACCGGTTCAGATAATCGTCGCCGGTGGCATTGGCCGTGAGCGGGAATCGAACTCGGTTCGCCGGGTTCGTAGTCAACGCAGCGTGGCGCTAACCGCAGCGCCACCGCTCCTCAGTTTTTAATTTAAACATGTGAAAATGGTCACCGAGCGAAAACGGCCAGCAATAAACAGCACCACTATCATTGCACTTGGGAGGAAGCCTCCTCAACTCGCTCACAACACCACTCACCACAACACTCACCCATCACCCACCCACTACTCACCCACCACTCACCGCACCACTCACCGCACCACTCACCACTCACCACTCACCGCACCACTCACCGCACCACTCACCGCACCACTCACCACACCACTCACCCACTACCCACCACACCACTCACCGCACCACTCACCCACCACCCACCTACCACTCACCGCACCACTCACCGCACCACTCACCGCACCACTCACCCACCACCCACCGCACCACTCACCACTCACCACACCACTCACCACACCACTCACCACAGCACCACACCAGCCACCGCTCACCCATCACCCACTGCTCACCGCACCAGCCACCGACCCACCACCCACTGCTCACCACTCACCAGACCACTCACCACACCACTCACCACAGCACCACACCAGCCACCGCTCACCCACCACCCACTGCTCACCGCTCCAGCCACCCACCCACCACCCACCGCTCACCCACCACCCACTGCTCACCACACCACTCACCACAGCACCACACCAGCCACCGCTCACCCACCACCCACTGCTCACCCACCAGTCACCCACCCACCGCTCACCCACCACCCATCGCTCACCGCTCCAGCCACCGACCACTCACCACTCACCACACCACTCACCACACCACTCACCACACCACCCACTGCTCACCCACCACCCACCCACCACCCACCGCTCACCCACCACCCACCGCTCACCCACCACCCACTGCTCACCGCACCAGCCACCCACCCACCACCCACCCACCACCCACCAACCACCCACCCACCGCACCGCACGCTCACCGGAGCGCCCTCTTGCGCTCGTGCGGGTCAGGCGAGACGTAGGCTCGCATCTCCACCCCGGCCCTGTCCAGCAGCACCTGCACCATCTGTGGACGTGGACGCACACACAAGACAAAGATCCCCCGTGTAGCCTTAACAGACTGTAGGGGCAAGTGCTGTTAGCGAGCGCCACCTATGAAGGCCGGCACGGCACACGAGGGGGTGGGTGGCCAGCACCACGCCCGGCCGCCTTTGTCTCCCCAGTGGCGATGTTTACTGCACACCGCACCAGGTACTCATTTGAGGCTGAGTCGACCTAGGGGAGGCCCGGGACAGGTTCAGATAATCGTCACCGGTGGTGTTGGCCGTGAGCGGGAATCGAACTCGGGTGGTGATTGTGGTGGTGGTGCTGGTGGTGATTGTGGTGCTGCTGGTGGTGATTGTCGTGGTGATTGTGGTGCTGGTAGTGATGGTGGTGACGGTAGTGCTGGCAGTGAGGGTGGCGAGGGTGGCGGTGAGGGTGGTGAGGATGGCGGTGAGGGTGGCTGTGACGGTGGCGGTGAGGGTGGTGAGGGTGGCGGTGAGGGTGGTGAGGGTGGTGAGGGTGGTGGTGAGGGTGGCGGTGAGGGTGGCGGTGAGGGTGGTGAGGGTGGCGGTGAGGGTGGCGGTGAGGGTGGCGGTGAGGGTGGTGAGGGTGGCGGTGAGGGTGGCGGTGAGGGTGGTGAGGGTGGTGAGGGTGGTGAGCGTGGTGGTGAGCGTGGTGGTGAGCGTGGTGGTGAGCGTGGTGGTGAGCGTGGTGGTGAGGGTGGTGGTGAGCGTGGTGGTGAGTGTGGAGGTGAGGGTGGTGGTGGTGAGGGTGGTGGTGAGCGTGGTGGTGAGTGTGGAGGTGAGGGTGGTGGTGGTGAGGGTGGTGGTGAGGGTGGTGGTGAGCGTGGTGGTGAGCGTGGTGGTGAGTGTGGTGGTGAGCGTGGTGGTGAGGGTGGTGGTAAGCGTGGTGGTGAGCGTGGTGGTGAGGGTGGTGGTAAGCGTGGTGGTGAGCGTGGTGGTGAGCGTGGTGGTGAGCGTGGTGGTGAGCGTGGTGGTGAGTGTGGTGGTGAGCGTGGTGGTGAGCGTGGTAGTGAGCGTGGTGGTGAGCGTGGTGGTGAGCGTGGTGGTGAGCGTGGTGGTGAGTGTGGTGGTGAGCGTGGTGGTGAGTGTGGTGGTGAGCGTGGTGGTAAGCGTGGTGGTGAGCGTGGTGGTGAGGGTGGTGGTAAGCGTGGTGGTGAGCGTGGTGGTGAGCGTGGTGGTGAGTGTGGTGGTGAGCGTGGTGGTGAGCGTGGTGGTGAGCGTGGTGGTGAGGGTGGTGGTGAGCGTGGTGGTGAGCGTGGTGGTGAGTGTGGTGGTGAGCGTGGTGGTGAGCGTGGTGGTGAGCGTGGTGGTGAGCGTGGTGGTGAGCGTGGTGGTGAGCGTGGTGGTGAGGGTGGAGGTGAGAGTAGCGGTGAGCGTGGTGGTGAGCGTGGTGGTGAGTGTGGTGGTGAGGGTGGTGGTGAGCGTGGTGGTGAGCGTGGTGGTGAGCGTGGTGGTGAGCGTGGTGGTGAGTGTGGTGGTGAGTGTGGTGGTGAGCGTGGTGGTGAGCGTGGTGGTGAGTGTGGTGGTGATGGTGGTGGTGAGTGTGGTGGTGAGTGTGGTGGTGATGGTGGTGGTGAGCATGGTGGTGAGCGTGGTGGTGAGCGTGGTGGTGAGCGTGGTGGTGAGTGTGGAGGTGAGTGTGGTGGTGAGCGTGGTGGTGAGCGTGGTGGTGAGCGTGGTGGTGAGCGTGGTGGTGAGCGTGGTGGTGAGCGTGGTGGTGAGTGTGGTGGTGAGTGTGGTGGTGAGTGTGGTGGTGAGTGTGGTGGTGAGGGTGGTGGCGGTGAGTGTGGTGGTGAGCGTGGTGGTGAGCGTGGTGGTGAGCGTGGTGGTGAGCGTGGTGGTGAGCGTGGTGGTGAGCGTGGTGGTGAGGGTGGTGGTGAGGGTGGCGGTGAGAGTGGTGGTGAGGGTGGAGGTGAGCGTGGTGGTGAGCGTGGTGGGGAGCGTGGTGGTGAGTGTGGTGGTGAGTGTGGTGGTGGTGAGTGTGGTGGTGAGCGTGGTGGTGAGCGTGGTGGTGAGTGTGGTGGTGAGCGTGGTGGTGAGCGTGGTGGTGAGCGTGGTGGTGAGTGTGGTGGTGAGCGTGGTGGTGAGCGTGGTGGTGAGCGTGGTGGTGAGCGTGGTGGTGAGCGTGGTGGTGAGCGTGGTACCTGGCTCTGCTGTTTAGAGAAGTGGTAATGGCACTCCGACAGCCGAATCTCCTCACGCAGTGCACGCACCTCCTGCACAGACAAAGGTCCCCCGTGTAGCCTAAACAGACTGTAGGGGCAAGTGCTGTTAGCGAGCAGCAGCCCCTACGAAGGCCGGAACGGCGCACGAGGGGGTGGGTGGCCAACACCACGCCCGGCCGCCTTTGTCTCCCCAGTGGCGATGATGACTGCACACCGCTACACCAGGTACTCATTTGAGGCCGAGTGTACCTAGGGGAGGCCCAGGGACCGGTTCAGATAATCGTCACCGGTGGTGTTGGCCGTGAGCCGGGAATCGAACTCGGGTCGCCGGGTTCGGAGCACAGCGTAGCGCTAACCGCTACTACACTACCGCTCACAAGACACACACACACAGTGACACACACACACACACACAGATACACACACATACAGTGACACACACACATATACACACACATACAGCGACACACACAGTGACACACACACACAAGACACACACAAGCACAACAACAACCGCCATTCGCCACTAAGTGGCGGCGACGTCACCACGGCGCCTGTGCCAGGCTAGGTGCACTTTAAGGCCACGTGAAGTGTCCAACGCCCGCTGGCAGGAGGTCACGGGGCAGACCCAGGTGCCACGGGTCGACTGACTGAGATGACTGAGATGATTGGCTGATGCACCACCTGTGGCCCCTACTGTGCCAAAACACACACACGCACGCGTACACACACACACACGCACGCGCACACGCACGCGTACACACGCACTCACGCACGCGTACACACACACACATGCACGCGACACACACACACGCACGCACGCGTACACACACACACACACGCACCAACGCACGCGTACACACACATGCACGCGACACACACACACACACGCACACACACACACACGTACACACACACACGCGTACACACGTACACACACTCACGCGTACACACACACACTCACTCACGCGTACACACACACACACGCACCAACGCACGCGTACACACACATGCACGTGACACACACACACACACACACGCACACACACACACACGCACACACACACACACGTACACACACACACGCGTACACACGTACACACACACACGTACACACACACACGTACACACACACACGTTCACTTACTCGCTCGCCTGCTCTGCAGGGACCTCACCTGCTCCAGCTGGGAGCGGTTGCCCTCCAGGCCGGCGGCGCAGATCTCGTACTGAGACTTCCTACGCTCGTACTCCTCACCCAGCTCCTGCACACCGTGACACACGTGACACACCGTGGCACACGTGACACACCGTGAAACACCGTGACACACGTGACACACGTGACACACCGTGACACACAGCGTGACACACACACCGTGACACACCGTGACACACCGAGACACACGTGACACACGTGACACACCGTGACACACGTGACACACGTGACACACCGTGACACACCGTGACACACCGTGGAACACGTGACACACCGTGACACACCGTGACACACCGTGACACACCGTGGCACACGTGATACACGTGACACACCGTGACACACCGTGACACACGTGACACACGTGACACACGTGACACACACACGTGACACACCGTGACACACCGTGACACACGTGACACACGTGACACACCGTGGCACACGTGACACACCGTGACACACCGTGACACACCGTGACACACCGTGGCACACGTGACACACGTGACACACGTGACACACCGTGACACACGTGACACACCGTGACACACGTGACACACCGTGACACACGTGACACACCGTGACACACACGTGACACACGTGACACACCGTGACACACGTGACACACGTGACACACCGTGACACACGTGACACACCGTGGCACACCGTGACACACCATGGCACACACACCATGACACACACACCGTGACACACACACCGTGACACACCGTGACACACCGTGACACACACACCGTGACACACCGTGACACACACAGCGTGACACACCGTGACACACACAGCGTGACACACTGTGACACACACAGCGTGACACACTGTGACACACACAGCGTGACACACTGTGACACACACACACCGTGACACACACACACCGTGACACACTGTGACACACACACACCGTGACACACCGTGACACACTGTGACACACACACAGCGTGACACACCGTGACACACTGTGACACACACACACCGTGACACACCGTGACACACTGTGACACACACACACCGTGACACACCGTGACACACTGTGACACACACACAGCGTGACACACCGTGACACACTGTGACACACACACACCGTGACACACCGTGACACACTGTGACACACACACACCGTGACACACCGTGACACACTGTGACACACACAGCGTGACACACCGTGACACACACAGCGTGACACACTGTGACACACACACACCGTGACACACCGTGACACACTGTGACACACACACACCGTGACACACCGTGACACACTGTGACACACACACAGCGTGACACACCGTGACACACTGTGACACACACAGCGTGACACACCGTGACACACACAGCGTGACACACTGTGACACACACACACCGTGACACACACACACCGTGACACACTGTGACACACACACAGCGTGACACACCGTGACACACTGTGACACACACACACCGTGACACACCGTGACACACTGTGACACACACACACCGTGACACACCGTGACACACCGTGACACACACACACCGTGACACACCGTGACACACCGTGACACACACACACCGTGACACACCGTGACACACCGTGACACACACACACCGTGACATACACACACCGTGACACACACAGCGTGACACACACAGCGTGACACACCGTGACACACTGTGACACACACACAGCGTGACACACCGTGACACACTGTGACACACACACAGCGTGACACACCGTGACACACCGTGACACACACACCGTGACACACCGTGACACACCGTGACACACACACCGTGACACACCGTGACACACCGTGACGCACCGTGACACACCGTGACACACCATGACACACACACCGTGACACACTGTGACACACCGTGACACACTGTGACACACTGTGACACACACACCGTGACACACCGTGACACACACACCACGGCACACCGTGACACACACACCGTGACACACACACCGTGACACACACACCGTGACACACCGTGACACACCGTGACACACACACCGTGACACACTGTGACACACACACCGTGACACACACACCATGACACACACACCATGACACACACACCATGACACACACACCGTGACACACTGTGACACACACACCGTGACACACCGTGACACACACACCACGGCACACCGTGACACACTGTGACACACCGTGACACACACACCGTGACACACACACCGTGACACACCGTGACACACCGTGACACACACACCGTGACACACTGTGACACACACACCGTGACACACACACCATGACACACACACCATGACACACACACCATGACACACACACCGTGACACACTGTGACACACACACCGTGACACACCGTGACACACACACCACGGCACACCGTGACACACTGTGACACACCGTGACACACACACCGTGACACACACACCGTGACACACCGTGACACACACACCGTGACACACACACCGTGACACACCGTGACACACACACCGTGACACACACACCGTGACACACACACCGTGACACACACACCGTGACACACCGTGACACACACACTGTGACACACACACCGTGACACACCGTGACACACACACCGTGACACACCGTGACACACACACCGTGACACACCGTGACACACCGTGACACACACACCGTGACACACCGTGACACACCGTGACACACACACCGTGACACACCGTGACACACACACCGTGACACACACACCGTGACACACCGTGACACACCGTGACACACACACCGTGACACACCGTGACACACCGTGACACACCGTGACACACACACCGTGACACACCGTGACACACCGTGACACACACACCGTGACACACCGTGACACACACACCGTGACACACCGTGACACACACACCGTGACACACTGTGACACACACACCGTGACACACTGTGACACACACACACACCGTGACACACTGTGACACACACACCGTGACACACACACCGTGACACACCGTGACACACCGTGACACACACACCGTGACACACCGTGACACACCGTGACACACACACCGTGACACACTGTGACACACCGTGACACACACACCGTGACACACTGTGACACACACACCGTGACACACACACCGTGACACACCGTGACACACACACCGTGACACACTGTGACACACACACCGTGACACACTGTGACACACACACCGTGACACACCGTGACACACACACCGTGACACACCGTGACACACCGTGACACACACACCGTGACACACACACCGTGACACACCGTGACACACCGTGACACACACACCGTGACACACTGTGACACACACACCGTGACACACACACCGTGACACACCGTGACACACCGTGACACACACACCGTGACACACCGTGACACACACACCGTGACACACCGTGACACACACACCGTGACACACCGTGACACACACACCGTGACACACCGTGACACACACACCGTGACACACCGTGACACACACACCGTGACACACTGTGACACACACACCGTGACACACACACCGTGACACACACACCGTGACACACCGTGACACACCGTGACACACACACCGTGACACACTGTGACACACACCGCGGCACACCACGCACACTGCGGCATACCACACACGTGGTACACGGCACGGCACACGTGACACACGGCGCACCGCAGGGCACCTCGTGTGGCACACGGCATGCGGCACACCGCACGGCATGCGGCACACCGCACGGCATGCGGCACGGGTGTGTGTGTGTGTGTGGGCACGTGTGTTGATGAGTGTGTCAGTGAGTGAGTGAGTGTGTCAGTGTGGGCAAGTGTGTCGATGAGTGTGTCAGTGAGTGAGTGAGTGTGTGTGTGGGCAAGTGTGTCGATGAGTGTGTCAGTGAGTGAGTGAGTGTGTGTGTCGGCAAGTGTGTCGATGAGTGTGTCAGTGAGTGAGTGAGTGTGTCAGTGTGGGCAAGTGTGTCGATGAGTGTGTCAGTGAGTGAGTGAGTGTGTGTGTGGGCAAGTGTGTCGATGAGTGTGTCAGTGAGTGAGTGAGTGTGTGTGTCGGCAAGTGTGTCGATGAGTGTGTCAGTGAGTGAGTGAGTGTGTCAGTGTGGGCAAGTGTGTCGATGAGTGTGTCAGTGAGTGAGTGAGTGTGTGTGTGGGCAAGTGTGTCGATGAGTGTGTCAGTGAGTGAGTGAGTGTGTGTGTCGGCAAGTGTGTCGATGAGTGTGTCAGTGAGTGAGTGAGTGTGTCAGTGTGGGCAAGTGTGTCGATGAGTGTGTCAGTGAGTGAGTGAGTGTGTGTGTGGGCAAGTGTGTCGATGAGTGTGTCAGTGAGTGAGTGAGTGTGTGTGTCGGCAAGTGTGTCGATGAGTGTGTCAGTGAGTGAGTGAGTGTGTCAGTGTGGGCAAGTGTGTCGATGAGTGTGTCAGTGAGTGAGTGAGTGTGTGTGTGGGCAAGTGTGTCGATGAGTGTGTCAGTGAGTGAGTGAGTGTGTGTGTCGGCAAGTGTGTCGATGAGTGTGTCAGTGAGTGAGTGAGTGTGTCAGTGTGGGCAAGTGTGTCGATGAGTGTGTCAGTGAGTGAGTGAGTGTGTGTGTGGGCAAGTGTGTCGATGAGTGTGTCAGTGAGTGAGTGAGTGTGTCAGTGAGCGAGTGTGTCGGTGAGTGAGTGAGTGTGTCGGTGAGTGAGCGAGTGAGTCGGTGAATGAGCGAGTGAGTCGGTGAATGAGCGAGTGTGTCGGTGAGTGAGCGAGTGTGTCGGTGAATGAGCGAGTGTGTCGGTGAGTGAGCGAGTGTGTCAGTGAGTGAGCGAGTGAGTCGGTGAATGAGCGAGAGTGTCAGTGAGTGAGCGAGTGTGTCAGTGAGTGAGCGAGTGTGTCGGTGAGTGAGCGAGTGTGTCGGTGAGTGAGCGAGTGTGTCGGTGAGTGAGCGAGTGTGTCAGTGAGTGAGCGAGTGTGTCGGTGAGTGAGTGAGTGTGTCGGTGAGCGAGTGTGCCAGTGAGTGAGCGAGTGTGTCAGTGAGTGAGCGAGAGTGTCAGTGAGTGAGCGAGTGTGTCAGTGAGTGAGCGAGTGTGTCGGTGAGTGAGCGAGTGTGTCAGTGAGTGAGCGAGTGTGTCGGTGAGCGAGTGTGTCAGTGAGTGAGCGAGTGTGTCGGTGAGTGAGCGAGTGTGTCGGTGAGTGAGCGAGTGTGTCGGTGAGTGAGCGAGTGTGTCGGTGAGTGAGCGAGTGTGTCGGTGAGTGAGCGAGTGTGTCGGTGAGTGAGCGAGTGTGTCGGTGAGTGAGCGAGTGTGTCGGGGAGTGAGCGAGTGTGTCGGTGAGGGAGCGAGTGTGTCGGTGAGTGAGCGAGTGTGTCGGTGAGTGAGTGTGTCGGTGAGTGAGTGTGTGACCGTACCTGGCAGTGTTGCCTCAGGGGGCGCAGCTCCTTGATCACGGGAGACAAAGCGGCCTTCTTTTCGGTGATCAGAGCGTTCAACTCGCGCACCTGCACCAAAGACAAAGGTGTTAGTCTATGGGTCTCTGTGTGAGTCTATGGGTCTCTGTGTGAGTCTGTGGGTCTCTGTGTGAGTCTGTGGGTCTCTGTGTGAGTCTATGGGTCTCTGTGTGAGTCTATGGGTCTCTGTGTTAGTCTATGGGTCTCTGTGTGAGTCTGTGGGTCTCTGTGTGAGTCTACGGGTCTCTGTGTGTCAAAGGGTCTCTGTGTGAGTCTATGGGTTACTGTGTGAGTCTATGGGTCTCTGTGTTAGTCTATGGGTATCTGTGTGAGTCTATGTGTCTCTGTGTGAGTCTATGGGTCTCTGTGTGAGTCTATGGGTCTCTGTGTTAGTCTACTGGTCTCTGTGTGAGTCTATGGGTCTCTGTGTGAGTCTATGGGTCTCTGTGTGAGTCTGTGGGTCTCTGTGTGAGTCTACGGGTCTCTGTGCGAGTTTATGGGTCTCTGTGCGAGTCTATGGGTCTCTGTGTGAGTCTATGGGTCTCTGGGTGAGTCTGTGGGTCTCTGTGTGAGTCTGTGGGTCTCTGTGTGAGTCTACGGGTCTCTGTGTGAGTCTACGGGTCTCTGTGTGAGTCTATGGGTCTCTGTGTGTCAAAGGGTCTCTGTGTGAGTTTATGGGTCTCTGTGTGAGTCTATGGGTCTCTGCGTGAGTCTATGGGTCTCTGTGTGAGTCTACGGGTCTCTGTGTGTCAAAGGGTCTCTGTGTGAGTTTATGGGTCTCTGTGTGAGTCTATGGGTCTCTGTGTGAGTCTATGGGTCTCTGTGTGAGTCTATGGGTCTCTGTGGGAGTCTATGGGTCTCTGTGTGAGTCTATGGGTCTCTGCGTGAGTCTATGAGTCTCTGTGTGAGTCTATGAGTCTCTGTGTGAGTGAGTCTATGTGTCTCTGTGTGAGTCTACGGGTCTCTGTGTGTCAAAGTGTCTCTGTGTGAGTCTACGGGTCTCTGTGTGAGTCTACGGGTCTCTGTGTGAGTCTACGGGTCTCTGTGTGAGTCTACGGGTCTCTGTGTGAGTCTACGGGTCTCTGTGTGAGTCTGTGGGTCTCTGTGTGAGTCCACGGATCTCTGTGTGTAAGTCTGCGCATCTCTGGTGGTGTATTGATATCGCTGGTGGTGTATCGATCGTGCCGATGCCACGCTGATGCCAGTGTATTGACGCCGCCGCTGGTGCCGCTGGTGCCGCCGGTGCCGCTGGTGCCGCTGGTGGCGCTCACCATGTGGGACATGTCTCCCAGCGTCTGCGCCTTGGCCTCGTCATGCTGCTGTTTGCTGCGAGACACCTTCTCCAGGTCATCCTGCGCCTCGCTGAACCCAGCCACGCCACGACGCTCCTCCAGCGCCAGCTGCACCGCCAAAGACGTCGTCGTCACCGCCACCGTCATCATCATCATCACCACCGTCATCATCACCGCCACCGTCATCATCACCGCCACCGTCATCATCACCACCGTCATCATCACCGCCACCGTCATCATCACCGCCACCGTCATCATCACCACCGTCATCATCATCGCCGCCACCGTCATCATCATCATCACCGTCATCATCATCATCATCACCACCGTCATCATCACCACCACCGTCATCATCACCGCCACCGTCATCACCACCACCGCCGTCATCATCACCGCCGTCGTCATCATCACCGCCGCCGTCATCATCACCACCACCATCATCATCATCACCACCATCGTCATCATCATCACCGCCGTCATCATCACCACCACCGCCGTCATCATCACCGCCGTCATCATCACCACTGTCATCATCACCACCACCGTCATCATCATCACCGCCGTCATCATCACCACCACCACCGTCATCATCACCACTGTCATCATCACCACCACCGTCATCATCATCACCGCCGTCATCATCATCACCACCACCACCGTCATCATCACCACTGTCATCATCACCACCACCGTCATCATCACCACCGTCATCACCGCCGCCACTGCTATCACCACCACCGTCATCACCACCGCCAACACCACCACCACCGCAGCCGTCACCACCGTGACCACCGTTACCGCCACTGGTTTGCGCGACCAGGGTTCGATTCCCTCTCACGGGCACCGCCTGGGTCTGTCACGTGACCTCCTGCACCTAGCCTGGCACAGTGGTGGGAGCACGGCTGGCGGGTGCATCTGTCAGCCATCTCAGTCGGTCAACACACGGTTCACCGCCTGGGTCTGCCACGTGACCTCCTGCACCTAGCCTGGCACAGTGGTGGGAGCACGGCTGGCGGGTGCATCTGTCAGCCATCTCAGTCGGTCAACACACGGTTCACCGCCTGGGTCTGCCACGTGACCTCCTGCACCTAGCCTGGCACAGTGGTGGGAGCACGGCTGGCGGGTGCATCTGTCAGCCATCTCAGTCGGTCAACACACGGTTCACCGCCTGGGTCTGCCACGTGACCTCCTGCACCTAGCCTGGCACAGTGGTGGGAGGACGGCTGGCGGGTGCATCTGTCAGCCATCTCAGTCGGTCAACCCACGGTTCACCGCCTGGGTCTGTCACGTGACCTCCTGCACCTAGCCTGGCACAGTGGTGGGAGCACGGCTGGCGGGTGCATCTGTCAGCCATCTCAGTCGGTCAACCCACGGTTCACCACCTGGATCTGCCACGTGACCTCCTGCACCTAGCCTGGCACAGTGGTGGGAGCACGGCTGGCGGGTGCATCTGTCAGCCATCTCAGTCGGTCAACCCACGGTTCACCGCCTGGGTCTGTCACGTGACCCCCTTGCAGGCAGAAGCGACAGCTTTCACGTCATAGCCTCGGAGAGCATGGAGACAGGCACGGGCACTTAGGGGGCGAAGGGCGGCTGTTACAAAACTAAACTATTTTTGTTTGTGCCAGGTAAGGCTTCCACCGAGCTGCGTGTAGCTCGTTTGTCAGAGGCGGAGCCCTGGCTATCGCCAACGGCGTCTCAAAGAACTTTCCAACAGCAGCCAACCACACCCAAGGCGTGGCGATGTTGTCGAGGGCAAAAAAAACCGGAGGTCCCGGAGAAAAATCCGAGTGACCACGGGGAGAGAGAGAGAAAGAGAGACGCAGATTCAAAATGTTCAGCAGGCATCAGAGTTGGGATCAAACCCACGACCTCCTGTAGACCAGTAGAGGTAGTCAACATCTCCTAGCCACCGTGATGATGATGATGAGAGATAGATGCAGATTCCAAATGTTCAGCAGGCATCAGGGTTGGGATCAAACCCACGACCTCCTGTAGACCAGTAGAGGTAGTCAACATCTCCTAGCCACTGTGATGATGATGATGAGAGATAGATGCAGATTCCAAATGTTCAGCAGGCATCAGGGTTGGGATCAAACCCACAACCTCCTGTAGACCAGTAGAGGTAGTCAACATCTCCTAGCCACCGTGATGATGGAGAGAGAGAGAGACGCAGATTCCAAATGTTCAGCAGGCATCAGGGTTGGGATCAAACCCACGACCCCCTGTAGACCAGTAGAGGTAGTCAACATCTCCTAGCCACCGTGATGATGATGATGATAGAGAGATAGACGCAGATTCCAAATGTTCAGCAGGCATCAGGGTTGGGATCAAACCCACGACCTCCTGTAGACCAGTAGAGGTAGTCAACATCTCCTAGCCACCGTGATGATGATGATGATGAGAAAGAGATAGACAGATTCCAAATGTTCAGCAGGCATCAAGGTTGGGATCAAACCCACGACCTCCTGTAGACCAGTAGAGGTAGTCAACATCTCCTAGCCACCGTGATGATGATGATGAGAGAGAGAGACATAGATTCCAAATGATCAACAGGCATCAGGGTTGGGGTCAAACCCACGACCTCCTGTATACCAGTAGAGGTAGTCAACATCTCCTAGCCACCGTGATGATGATGGTGATGATGATGAGAGAGAAATAGACGCAGATTCCAAATGTTCAGCATGCATCAGGGTTGGGATCAAACCCACGACCTCCTTTAGACCAGTAGAGGTAGTCAACATCTCCTAGCCACCGTGATGATGGAGAGAGAGAGAGAGACGCAGATTCCAAATGTTCAGCAGGCATCAGGGTTGGGATCAAACCCACGACCCCCTGTAGACCAGTAGAGGTAGTCAACATCTCCTAGCCACCGTGATGATGATGATGATGATAGAGAGATAGACGCAGATTCCAAATGTTCAGCAGGCATCAGGGTTGGGATCAAACCCACGACCTCCTGTAGACCAGTAGAGGTAGTCAACATCTCCTAGCCACCGTGATGATGATGATGAGAAAGAGATAGACAGATTCCAAATGTTCAGCAGGCATCAGGGTTGGGATCAAACCCACGACCTCCTGTAGACCAGTAGAGGTAGTCAACATCTCCTAGCCACCGTGATGATGATGATGAAAGAGAGATAGACGCAGATTCCAAATGTTCAGCAGGCATTAGGTCTGGATCAAGCCCACGACCTCCTGTAGACCAGTAGAGGTAGTCAACATCTCCTAGCCACCGTGATGATGATGATGAGATAGATAGACGCAGATTCCAAATGTTCAGCAGGCATCAGGGTTGGGATCAAACCCGCGACCTCCTGTAGACCAGTAGAGGTAGTCAACATCTCCTAGCCACCGTGATGATGATGATGAGAGAGAGAGAGACGCAGATTCCAAATGTTCAGCAGGCATCAGGGTTGGGATCAAACCCACGACCTCCTGTAGACCAGTAGAGGTAGTTAACATCTCCTAGCCACCGTGATGATGATGATGATGAAAGATAGACGCAGATTCCAAATGTTCAGCAGGCATCAGGGTTGGGATCAAACCCACGACCTTCTGTAGACCAGTAGAGGTAGTCAACATCTCCTAGCCACCGTGATGATGATGATGAGAGAGAGAGACATAGATTCCAAATGTTCAACAGGCATCAGGGTTGGGGTCAAACCCACGACCTCCTGTATACCAGTAGAGGTAGTCAACATCCCCTAGCCACCGTGATGATGATGATGAGAGAGAGACGCAGATTCCAAATGTTCAGCAGGCATCAGGGTTGGGATCAAACCCACGACCTCCTGTAGACCAGTAGAGGTAGTCAACATCTCCTAGCCACCGTGATGATGATGATGATGATGAGAGAGATAGACAGATTCCAAATGTTCAGCAGGAATCAGGGTTGGGAACAAACCCACGACCTCCTGTAGACCAGTAGAGGTAGTCAACATCTCCTAGCCACCGTGATGATGATGATGGAGAGAGAGAGAGACGCAGATTCCAAATGTTCAGCAGGCATCAGGGTTGGGATCAAACCAGCGACCTCCTGTAGACCAGTAGAGGTAGTCAACATCTCCTAGCCACCGTGATGATGATGATGATGATGAGAAAGAGATAGACAGATTCCAAATGTTCAGCAGGCATCAGGGTTGGGATCAAACCCACGACCTCCTGTAGACCAGTAGAGGTAGTCAACATCTCCTAGCCACCGTGATGATGATGATGAAAGAGAGATAGACGCAGATTCCAAATGTTCAGCAGGCATTAGGTCTGGATCAAGCCCACGACCTCCTGTAGACCAGTAGAGGTAGTCAACATCTCCTAGCCACCGTGATGATGATGATGAGATAGATAGACGCAGATTCCAAATGTTCAGCAGGCATCAGGGTTGGGATCAAACCCGCGACCTCCTGTAGACCAGTAGAGGTAGTCAACATCTCCTAGCCACCGTGATGATGATGATGAGAGAGAGAGAGACGCAGATTCCAAATGTTCAGCAGGCATCAGGGTTGGGATCAAACCCACGACCTCCTGTAGACCAGTAGAGGTAGTTAACATCTCCTAGCCACCGTGATGATGATGATGAATGATAGACGCAGATTCCAAATGTTCAGCAGGCATCAGGGTTGGGATCAAACCCACGACCTTCTGTAGACCAGTAGAGGTAGTCAACATCTCCTAGCCACCGTGATGATGATGATGAGAGAGAGAGACATAGATTCCAAATGTTCAACAGGCATCAGGGTTGGGGTCAAACCCACGACCTCCTGTATACCAGTAGAGGTAGTCAACATCCCCTAGCCACCGTGATGATCATGATGATGAGAGAGAGAGACGCAGATTCCAAATGTTCAGCAGGCATCAGGGTTGGGATCAAACCCACGACCTCCTGTAGACCAGTAGAGGTAGTCAACATCTCCTAGCCACCGTGATGATGATGAGAGAGAGAGACGCAGATTCCAAATGTTCAGCAGGCATCAGGGTTGGGATCAAACCCACAACCTCCTGTAGACCAGTAGAGGTAGTCAAAATCTCCTAGCCACCGTGATGATGATGATGATGAGAGAGAGATAGACGCAGATTCCAAATGTTCAGCAGGCATCAGGGTTGGGATC